GTAAACATTATGAAATACTGTTTTTAAATATTATAATTTTCTCATTGAGCTTTTTACAGGTTGTACACATGCAGGGCGTATGTATATAGCTTTGTATATAGCTTTATATAGCTTTGAGCTTTATATAGCTTTGAGCTTTGTATATAGATGTATATAGCTTTGAGCTGTATAGTCAGGGTTAACGGGCACTGACTGACGTTCTGAAGTTAATCATAATACGAGCCTCTATTATTTGGCATCGTGATGCTTGTCATGTTCTGCCTCCTGTTCTCACCCTCCTCACTGTTAATCAGTCCTCTACTGTCAGGTGGCTGTTGCCAGCCCTTGTCTTTTTACTGCGTGGCCAGCAGAGGGTTCCATCAGCATTGGGAGGAAAGACTAGATTGCGTTTCTGTGGTTGGACCTTCCTCATGTAGGTCTTGGGCTTGACAGCTTTAGTACTTTTAAATTTTTTTCTCCAAAACATTTACTGTACATTTTAAGGGATATGTTATATAAAGCCTTAAGCAAAAATGTATTTTGAATCTGGTATAGTAACAAGACCACCAGAAATAAAATTGATCAAATTATTCGAATTAGTGGGAAAACTAGCCAATGCAAAAGCATTTGTTCATCTAATTTTTTTCATACCAAAACTTTGAATTGGTAATCTAACTACATGTGTCTAATGATCAATGTCTAAATTTCTCTTCCGGATATATTTTGTAGGTCTGCATCACATTTTTGCCCAGAGATAGAGGGGATTATGCCCAATTTTGGGACGCTGAATGTCACCCTCTTAAAGAGCCTCACATAAAACACACATTGAGATTTCAACTCTCTGGACAAGTGAGTATTATACTGAATTTAAGTAAATTATTGTGTGTATATTAAAAACAATAAATGAAATTGACATTAAAAATTGACCTAAAAATGCAGAATATTTTCCTAGTATTATCCTGGTTTCACTAATTCTGCTGTATAGCCCCATAGTCTTAATTTTTTTATCTTCTTTATCGATTGGCATGTTTGATGCATGTGACCCATGTTTGACTTAATTATGTAAGATACTGTGTATGTGCTTTTGTGTGTTCATGCGGGCATGTGAGAGAGAAACTAAATAGTACACTGTAGAGAGTCTGTAATTTGGGGGACTTAAAAATTTTAAGTCTCCTTTAAAAAAATTTTAAAGGAAATGGTAGAATTCAAATAGATAAATGTCCATGTATTTTCCTAGAGTGTTTATTTCTCCTCCCCCACCCTGTGATTTTTCCATACAGAGCGCCAAAGCAGAAAATGAGCCTGAACATGCATGCGTTTCCACAGATTCTCTCATTAAAATAGATAATTTAGTTAAGCCCAGAAGACAAGCTGTGTCAGAGGCTTCTGCTCTTATACCTGAGTATGTTGTTTTTGTCACTTAATGAATTTCTTTCTAGTACTTTATTGAGGTATAGTCACATGCAGTGAATGCTCCATGACTTTGCCTGTGAGTTCACATGGCTTATTACCACTCTCGGCAAGATGGAGAATACTTCTCTCACCCAGAAAATTGTTACGTGTCCCTTTGCATCCGAGATTTGTTCTCTTCTGTTCTGATTTCTGTTGTCATTGATTAGTTTTGCTTGAACTTCATGTACTTATACACTTTTTGTGTCTGGGTTCTTCTCAACATGTTTTTTATATTCATTCATGATGTTGAGTGTACCTATACTTTGTTCCTTTTTATCATTTATTATTCAGTTAAACATATCGCAGTTTATTCATTTTCCTGTTCACATTTGGGTGTCTTATAATTTGGAGCTATGAACGTTGTTGTATGTGCATTTCTATAGACATATGGA